AATGGGCTGACATACTCCGGAGCCCTGGGAAGCCATGTGGGCCTCCCCGGCATGGAGGGAGCCCAGGTGCTGGCCACAGCTGTCGGCACCACCCTGCCTTGGTTTGTTCCTTCAGCACACTTTTGCCGGGACTGGCTGTGTGCATGCAACCTGGCGGAATGGAGCTGAGCTCCAGGAACGGGCACGTGGGAAACCTTTTAGGACCATCATGCCTGTAATTGGAGCTTGGGGTGCCTGTTGATGCCCTAGAGCTGCAGGGAGAGGTAATGTCCCCTGGGCCGGCAGCTGTGGGCCTCTGTGGTGACTGTGGGGCTGCAAGGTGGCCGTGACCAGGGTGGCCTTGCTCTTTGCTTGGCCATGGGGGAGGGGGTGATTAGGCAGGGCATGTACGGGCGATGGTGTTGCCATCTTGGGTTTTAAGAAGTGGGCATGCATTGTGTTGGGGTGAGGTAAGGGAATGACTTAGACTTGGCCCAGAGAGCTTTGCGCTCGGAGTGCAGGCCCAGTAGACACATGGGCACCGCATGGCTGTCCCTGGAGCTGGGAGTAGCACTCCCTTTGCATTTGACCAGTGAGGCGGTCACTCAGTGAGAAGGATTGTGTGGCTGAGGAGAGACTGCACATGCTTTGGGGATGCTCCTAGGATACAGAGTGGCGTGACCGGCAGGGAGGGCTGGGGGCGGGGGTGGTGTCCAGGCTGCTGTGCTGAGCCCGGTCCCTTGGGCACCCCAGTAGCTGCCTGCTCTCTGGGGGGCTGTCTCTCAGGGTGTGGCCCACCGCCCTGTCCCAGCAGGTCACAAACAGTGATCTTGATCTGATTCTGTCACTCTTGGTAGGCTCTGAGGCTGGGGGAGAATTTGTCACTGCTCCGGAAGCCTGCACATGGAACTGGCCTGGGACTTTGTGGCCACTGCCCTTCTTCTTCCAGTTAGTACCCAGAATTGGGCAGGGGTGGGAGAAAAGGCAGTACTGGGGCGCATCAGGTGGCGGGGCGTGAGCAGTGGCAGGTGGACCTGGGTTCCAATGAGAACCCCGGAGGCACTGTCAAAATCTCCCATGGGGCTTCCAGCTGGTTGCTACCTCTGGAAACACTGGCAGCCCCTGTGGGACGTCAGGCCCGGGGGTGGGCACCTGGCCCTGGCTGTGCTGGTCAAGCTCTACAGAGGCTGCTGGGAGGCAGCACGCACCTGGATTTTTCTCTGTCCAGTTCTGCTAGAAATGTGTGTGGGCCGGCCAGCCTGCTTGCCTGCCCGCCCGCCCGCCCGCCC